AGCACAGAGCCTGACACGGGGCTCGAACTCTGATCAGGCAGATCATGACCTGAGCTGAAGTCAAATGCTTAACCGACTGAGCCATCCGGGCGCCCCCACAACACATTTTCAGTGTAGACAAAGCAGCCTTCTATCGGAAGATGCCATGTAGGACTTTCATAGCTAGAGAGGAGAAGTCAATGCCTGGCTTCAAAGTTTCAAAGGGCTCTCTTGTTAAAGGCAAATGGAGCTGGTGACTTTAAGTGAAAACCAGTGCTCATTTACCATTCTGAAAATCCTAGGGCCCTTAAGAATGATTCCAATGATTCTCTGTCTGTGCTCTGTAAATGGAACAACAAAGCCCAGATGACAGCACATCTATTTACAACGTGGTTTTACTGAATAATTTAAACCCACTGTTGAGACCTACTGCTCAAAAAAAAAAAAAAAGTTTCCTTTCAAAATATTACTGCTCATTGACCATGCACCTGGCCAGCCATGAGCTCTGATGGAGACGTACAATGAGATCAATGTTGTTTTCATGCCGGCTGAGGCAACATCCATTCTGCAGCCCACAGATTGAGGAGTAATTTTGACTCTCAAGTCTTCCTATTTAAGAAATCCATTTTGTAGAGCTATGGATGCCACAGAAAGTGACTCCTCTGATAGATCTGGGCAAAATAAATTGAAAGCCTTCTGGAAAGGCTTCGCCATTCTAGATGCCACTATGAACATTCTGGTTCATGGGAAGAGGTCAGAATATCAGGTGCAGGAGCCTGAAAGAAGCTGATTCCAACCCTTGTGGATGACTGTGAGGGGTTCAAGACTTCAGTGGGGGGAGCGCCTGGGTGGCTCAGTCAGTTAAGCATCTGACTTCGGCTCAGGTCATGATCTCGCGGTCCATGGGTTTGAGCCCCGCGTCAGGCTCTGTGCTGATGGCTCAGAGCCTGGAGCCTGCTTCAGATTCTGTGTCTTTCTCTGCCCTTCCCCTGCTCGTGCTTTGTCTCTGTCTCTCAAGAATAAATAAATATTAAAAAAAAAATTTTTTTTAAGAAGAAAAGACTTCAGTGGAGGAAGTCACTGCAGGTGTGGTGGGAATCAGAAATGGAGCCTGAGGATAGGATTGCCTCACTTCAATCTCATGATCCAACTTGAACGGAAGAGGAGTCGCTTCTTATTGGATGAGCAAAGAATGTGGTTTCTTGAGATGGCATCTACTCCTAGGGAAGATGCTGTGAAGGTTGTTGCAATGACCAGGTTTTAGAATACTATGTAAAGTTTGTTGATAAAACAGCAGCAGGGTTTGAGAGGATTGACTTCCATTTTGAAAAAAGTTCTAGGGGCTCCTGGGTGGCTCAGTCAGTTAAGTGACCAGGTCTTGATTTTGGCTCAGGTCATGATCTTAACGTTTCGTGAGTTCGAGCCCTGCATCGGGCTCCATGCTGACACTGCAGAGCCTGTTTGGGATTCTCTCTCTCCCTCTCTGCCCCTTTTAGCCCCTCTCTCTCTCAAAATAAATAAATAAAGTTAAAAAAAAAAAAAAGAAAGTCATTCTACAGTGGGTAAAGCGCAGCATTACGTGATCCAGAGAACTGACTCCTAAAAAGAAGACTCGATCAATGTGGCAACTTCATTGTTTCCTTATTTTAAGAAATTACCACAACCATCCTGATCTCTCAGCAGCCATCAACATCAAGGCAAGACCCTGCACCAGCAAAAGGATGTACTCGCTGAAAGCTGGGATGATGGTTAGCGTTTTTTAGCAACAAAGTATTTTTCAATTAGGGTACGTACATTTTTTTGTAGACGTAACGCACACTTAGTAGACTACAGTGTAGTATAAACATAACTTTTACACGCACTGGGAAACCACAAAATTCATTTGGCTTGCTTTATTGTGATGTTCACTTTATTGCAATGGTCTGGAACTGAACCCACAATATCTCTTGAGTTATGCCTGTGTATCGGTGGCTTTAATATTTCATAGAGAAGGCAGTTTAGGAGTTGGGACTGTCTAAGCAGGCTATTCCTTGGGGGGAGGGGGCAATAATGAAATAAAGGGTGGCAAACACTGGTCTCGAGCCTGGCTCAGACGCTCATTGGTTGTGTGACCTCGAGCAGGTTGTTTCTCGTCAAGACTCAGTTTTCCCATCTGTAAAATAGGAACAACAATATATCACTTTGCAGGTATTTAATGAGGATTAAATAAGATCATAGCTAGAGGTACTAAATGCCCAGGAGGCATTCTGAAGATTAGCTGCTATCGTCACCATCATCATCATCATCATCATCTGTATCCTCTTTTTTTTTTTT